CATCATCAGCAGCAGCAGCATCATCATCATCAACATCATCATCAACATCATCATCATCATCGTCATCATCATCATCATCATCATCATCATCATCATCATCATCATCATCGTCATCGTCATCATCACCATCACCATCATCATCAGCAGCATCATCATCCTCATCATCAACACCATCATCATCGTCATCAGCATCAGCATCATCATCAGCAGCAACAGCATAATCATCACGCTCAGCATCATCATCAGCATCATCACAATCATCAGCAGCAGCATCAGCATCGGCATCACCATCCTCGTCCTCATCATCAACATCATCACCATCATCACCATCATCAACAGCAGCATTATCATCGTCATCACCATCATCCTCACCATCATCAGCAGCATCATCATCACAATCACCATCATCAACAGCAGCAGCCTCATCATCATCACCATCAGCACCATCAGCATCAGCGTCAACATCATCATCGTCAACAACAACAGAATCATTTTCCTCAGCATCATCATCATTACCACCGTTTCCGCCGGCCGTCTCCATTCCCTCACACGGCCACGACATGACCGAAGGTGCACGGCCCGCCGAATCCCAAGGACGGGGGTGGCGGGAGGCGAAATGATGGTGGCAGGGGGACCGCTGTCCTGAATGGGTGCCCCCTTGCAGTGGGGCCGAGGGTCTAGCGTCAGGTCGGGCATGTCCTCCTACAGGGGGATTATGTTGGGCCGCCCAGCAAAATGCTCAAAAATCGTCAAACAGTATATTCCCCCTGTAGAGGGACAGGCACGACTTAAGCCTAGCGCCACGGAGCGCGGGACGAACTTAGCCCGAGCCGCCCTCAATGCCAGGCGCGGGGCCTGCATTCTCCAGCGACAAACGCCACGGGGACGCCGCCGGCAGCTACAGGCACGAAACAAAACGCAACCCACAACAAAAAAACAGCATCGAGCAGCGACGCGCGAACACCGAACAGCCCAGGCTGGAGGGCCACCCCAGCGAGTCGACGACCAACGCTGGCACGGCCCACCCTCCGACACCATCGGGCGCAACGATTGACGCCCGCCACCACCACCTCCTACACCTTCGGCCCGGAAGCAAAGCCGAGCGACCAGGAATTGCGACCGGATCGTGTCCTGAGGGCCCGAAAGGGGTGCCCGAAGAAGGCACGGGCCAGACAGCGCTGGGGGCAGGGCAGGGCCAGACGGCGCTGGGAGGCGATGCGGCTCGCCTGGGCCAGGGGCGCAGTCGCCTCCCGTCCCGCGTCGCGAGGCAAGGGGAAGACACGAGACACGAGGGTCCAACCGCCCCCGCCGCCGGTAGATCCAGAAGGGGTTGCGCACTCCCGCCCCCAGACGTCGACATCGACACGGAAGGCCTGAATGACTCACCTGCAGGCGCGACGACACGAGGCCTGGCGTCCAGCTCTTCTCCCCCCTCCGCGCCAACAGGGGGGGGCACCCCACATGCAGCTGAGGTCAGCCGCGCCCGCTGAAGTTGTCCCTCAAGCCCAAAAGCACACGGAGACCCTGCTGGACGCGTTATCCGAGAAGCGGCGGCCTAGAGGCCTGCGCACCGCCTTCACCCGAGGGACGACAAACCGAACCAGGGCTCCAACCTGGCATGCTGCGAGACCCTAGGGAGGGAGGCAGGGAGGGAAGATTGAGAAGAGTGACTGGGCGGGGGACTGGGTCACGCCTAACCCCGACAGGGGTGCCGAAATGCCGCGAAGGAGGAGAAGGAAGAACTACAATTGCGGGGGCTGGATGGCGATAAGAAGAAAGCAAGAGAGATGCCGAATCTTTTTTGCGTATCAGATGCGTTCGCGCCGGCGCTTCAAGCCAATTAATGGGCAGGGGAGGAGGAGGAGGAGGAGGAGGAGGAGAGAAAGGAGGAGGAGTAGCAGCAGCAGCATGAGGAGGATGAGGATAAGGATAAGGATAAGGATAAAGAGAAGGAGGAGGAGGAGGAGGAGGAGGAGGAGGAGGGGGAGGAGAGGGGGGGAGGAGGAGGAGGATTAAATGAGAAGGGAGGAGGAGAGGAGGAGGAGGAGGAGAGTAGGAGGGCAGGGGAGCAGGGAGGAGGGGGGGAATGAGGAGGAGAGGAGGAGGAGGAGGGGGAGCAGGAGGAGGGGGGGGGGAAGGAGGGTCAGGTAAGGAGGGGGAGGAGAAGGATGGTGAGGGGGAGGAGGTGAGACAGGTGGAGGGGAAGGAGGAGGAGGACGAGGAAGAAGAGGAGGAGGAGGCCCGCCCCCCGCCTGCTGTCGACAACCCAGCGGGAGATCGCGATGTGCCAAGGCCTCTGCGTCTTGAGCGATTCCCTCGCGGGGGCGGGCGCCGCTCGCTCGGGCGCGTGGCCGCGCCGACGGCGCGGGGAGAGGGCGGAGGGCGAAGAGCGAGGCCGACGGCGAGCCGCCGTCGGCCTCGCCGTCGGAGGAGGAGGAGGAGCGAGGGCGGATCGGTGAACATCGAACCGCGAAGTCGGGTCCCAGGTCACCCCAGCTCTGGGCCCCTGGGGGGCCTCTTGGGCGCCGTGGTGGGCATCGCTCGCTAGCTCGGCCGTCGCGGCGAGCGCCCCGCGCGGCGAGCACTCGGCGGCCGCCGCCCGTGGCCGGGGGCGTCATGCGCCGCATGGGCCTCGCCTTCCTCTGGCGGGTGCCGATCGTTGCCGCACCTGGGATGGCGAGTTTCTTCTTTGAAGGGGCCCCAGGACACACAAGTAAGTACACACAAACAACCAGATTCCCCATATTTTCCCATATTTTGAAGGTGTCCGTCTTCCCCCCCACTTTCCATATTTTCCCATACTTTCTGGGGAATCGACGATTCACCGTGTCTGTGTGTGTGTGTGTGTGTGTGTTCCCCCTCCTGAGAGTCTCTTCTTCGACGCCCCACGACGCGCGACGCGCGACGCGCGGCGCAGTTCGCGCCCCCGCGCCCCTCTGCGGCGCCCCATGAGGCGCAGCCGCCCTGGCCCAAGGCCGCGACGCGCGAGCCGCGCGTTTGCCGTCGCGCCCCCGCGGGCGACCCGGGGATCGGATCGCGCAGTGCTCGTCGGCTCGAGCTGCGGGATATCGAGCCCGCTCGGCCGCGCCCAGGTGCACGGCGGCGCCCGTGCAGGCATCGGGTCGCGAACCGGGGGCGGCCGGCAGGGACCATGGCCAGGGTAGGCGTCGGCAAGATCCCGCGACGTCTTGGTCGTGGTCAGCTGCGTTTCTGCCCCCGAGCATCGGGGATCTGCTGGCCCAGGTCGATCCAGACCCGGGTCAGTCAGGCACTGCAAGATCCTGCAACATGCCGCAGGATCGTGCACCCAAACCCGGGTCAGTACGCCCCTGGCCCTGCAGGATCCTGCAAGATCTGGCGCTCTGACTGACCCCCGTTCGCAGTGACACCCGTCCCTGGAGCCCCGAGGAGTACCCGAATCTGACGAACCAACAACACACACCCATACCCATAGGGGGATCGGAGAGGGCTATGAGTGCGTGTTGTCGGATGGGGGTCCCCGCTCGAACGGGAGCGTTCCCCAGGGTCCGACAACCCGCACCCATACCCATAGCCAGTCCTCCTCCCAACGACCCCCTTATGGGTACGGGTGCCTGCTGTCCGTTCGTCACGTTCGCAGTGACACCCGTCCCTGGAGCCCCGAGGAGTACCCGAATCGAGTCGGACAGGGCCAGCCGAGGCCGACCTCGAGCCGGACCGATCGGACTGAAGGCGGGCCCTGGTGGGGTGCAGGAGGGGCAGCCGCGCGGGCGCAGCAGCGGCGTGAGGGGGTGATTGAAGGGGCCCTGGGACACACAAATAAATACACACACAAAAAAAAAGATTCCCCATATTTTCCCATATCTGGGTTTTTGTCTTCCCCACCACTTCCCATAGTTTCCCATATGTTCTGGGGAGTCGACGATGAATTGTGTCTGTGTGTTTCTTCCCCTCCTGAGTGATGAAGGAGGGACAGAAGTGACCCGCGCTTGAGGGGGGGAGAAGATGAGCATCGTCTAACCGATCCCTATCCCCACCGATGTGGCCTGGGCCCTACTGGCCGATTTGCCCCCCTGGATGGGGATATAGGCAACTCCCTTCGGGTTTCGAGGGGTATATCCCCAACTGGGGTGGTGAGATGGTGGGGCTCGGCATGGGGATGGTGATGGGATCGGTTAAACGATACTGAGAAGAGGGAGCTCCCAGGGTCATCGAAGCCGTCCAGCTGAGGCGCCGCGTTGAGCTCCACCAGCACGGCTCTCTCAGGCCGAGGCACGGGCGAGTGGGGCGGCGAGGCGCGAGACGAAGGAGGGACAGGAGCACGAGGAGGATGCGATTGGGACAGCCCCGAGGGGGAGAGACCCGCGAGTCTGAACGACATTCGGCGGCGAGCGAGGGGGGGAGGGAGCTCGAAGCTTCGGCCCCAGATCTCCCTGGGAAGGAGGGCTCTTGCCAGAACCTCGAACAGAGTCCAGCCGTGGCGACGGGCAGCCTGTCCTGCGAAAACGTCCAGAGGCTCCAGCCTCGATGATCGAGTCCCCGCAGGATCCCTTGATCTTCATGCCGACGAGAGGGGGAGCCAGTGGCAATCGACGAGCGCGTTCAACTACTCGCAAAAGTAACTACTTGCAAATGGCCTGGATCCCCCGCGGGGGCTCCACGACAAAATACATCGAAGCAGACATGTGTTTTTGAGGACGTTTGCGAGTAGGTACTCTGCGAGTAGTGGAACGCGCTCGGCGAGGAGGAGGAGGGCGGAGGAGGAGGGGCAGGAGGAGGAGGCGGAGGGCGGAGGAGGAGGAGGAGCAGGAGGAGGAGGAGGAGGAGGAAGGGAGGGAGAGGAGGAGGAGAAGACGGAGGAGGAGGAGCAAGAGGAGAGGAGAGGAAGGGCGGAGGAGGCGGAGGAGGAGGAGGAGGAGGAGGAGGAGAGCCGCGCCTCCGCCCGAGCAGGGGCGGCACGGTCTTCTGGCTCCTGTCCGAGTCCGCCACGTGGAAGCCGTCGCTGCTCCTGTGGCTGCTGCCTGCCGGGGGCCCCGGGAGAGCCCGCGGCCGAGGCAGGGCCGGCGCCCCGGGGAGCACGGCAGCCACGAAGGCCGCGTGGCGGCACGGTCTTCGATCGAGCGAACAACAAACTCCTCCTCCTCCTCCTCCTCCTCCTCCTCCTCCTCCTCCTCCTCCTCCTCCTCCTCCTCCTCCTCCTCCTCCTCTTAAGGTTATGTTATTCGTATTAATGTTATTATTATTAATATGAACGATTATTGTGTAATATTATTATTAGTGTTAGTGTGTGTCTTCGTGCTGTTGTTATTATGGTTATTCTTCTTATTATTAGTAGCAATAGTATTAAGCGTATTTCTTATTACTCGTAGTAGTGATAGTATTATGTTTCGTCTTCTTCTTCTTATCAGTATTCTTATTCGTATTATGTTTCTTAATATTATTACTAATACTCCAAGTATTATTATGAGTATGAGAATTATTAGTATTATTATTATAATGCTTAATGTTAGTTGTATTCGTCTTCTTATTACTATGATTATTCGTAATATGCTTAGTATTATTATGGTTCGTCATATTATGCGTATTCTGCATATTCTTAATAATGCTGGTATTGTTAGTATGTTTCTGCGTATGTTTCTTATTATTACTAGTATTCTTATTATTCCAACTAGTATGATTCATGTTCCCCGTAATCTTATTATTAATATATTGGTAGTTTTCGTCTTCGTCCTCTTGTCCTTACTATTAGTAGTATTAGTATCATTATTCCTAATATTCTTCGTAGTATTCATTTTCTTCTTATTATCATCATTCACATTATGATTGTTACTCGTAATTAGTATCATTATTATGATTGTTCGTGCTCGTCTTCTTAATCCTATTATGAGTATTAGTACTATTATGATTAACAGTAGTAGTATTATGATTCGTCTTATTCGTCTTCTTCTGCTTCTTCTTCGTCTTCTTCTTCCTCCTCATCCTCCTCCTCCTCCTTATCCGCCTCCTCCTCCTCCTCCTTATCCGCCTCCTCCTCCTCCTCCTCCTCCTCCTCCTGCTCCTCCTCCTCCGTCTCCTCCTCCTCCTCCTCCTCCTCCTCCTCCTCCTCCTCCTCCCTCCTCCTCCTCCTCCTCCTCCTCCTCCTCCTCCTCCTCCTCCTACGGCCCTCCATGTCCCGCCACGGCCCCTCGGGCGCCGTGGCGTAGGCCACGCAGAAGCCCACACCAGATCTCCTAGTATGCGCTGAGCCCCCTGGGGTCGTAGGTGGGGTGGTGTCGTTTGCTTGCTGGTCTGTTCGACGTGGCCCATCCTGAGACGGCGCAGGTGGAAAAAAAACAACCCCAAGGAAGAGGCGGGCCCGAACTGCATCGAACCGCGAGATCGGATCGGACCGGAAACGGACCGGACGGCCAGCGAGTCGTCCCGAATTGGATGGCGATCGGATCGCCGCGCCAGGCCTCGAATGGCCCCACCCCATGCTGGTGGCTCGAACCGGATCGAGCCGACTCCAATCGGAAGCGCGGCCCCGGTCGGCAGATCGCGCCGCGCCGGATCGGATCGTGGACGGCCCACGCCACGGAAACGCCGCGACGTGGGAGCAGAGGGCAGGGCAAGCTGGAGGCAGCAGGGGGTCCGAACTGGTTGGAGATCGCCTTTATTCCGAACGTCCTGCGACGTTGGGTCCCCGCTTTGAGTCAGCAGCACCCCGCGTCCCCTCCCAGTCCTTCCGGTCCTCCCTGTCCTCCTCCTCCTCCTCCTCTTCCTCATCCTCCTCCTCCTCCTCCTCCTCCTCCTCCTCCTCCTCCTCCTCCTCCTCCTCCTCCCCCTCCTCCCTCCTGCCTCTGCCATTGCACACACCTGCCACGCTTGTCAAGCCCCATAGGAGTCCCACAGAAGGCAGATATATGAAAAAGTCCGCAGGCAGTCGTGGGCTCATTTCGCTCGCCACTGCCACGCTTTTCAAGCCCCATAGGAGTCCAACAGAAGGCCGAAATGAAAAAAGTCCACATGAACTCGTGGGTTCACTTCGCTTACCCTGCCACGCTTTTCAAGTCACATAGGAGAGTTCATCATTTCGCTCGTCTTGACCACGCTCAGTTCGCTGGCCCCTCACACGTTTTTCAGGCCCCACAGGGAGCTCCATGCAAGGTCAAAATGGCAAAGTTCGTATGCCTGGGCACGCCCGTTTCGATCGCCCCTGCCACGCTTTTCAAGTCCCGCGCCGTCTGCAAGTCGGCACACACACACCTCACACGTCTCGTGGCCCCACAAGGAGATCCCCCTCCTTCGGCCCACCTGACTTGCGGCACTCACACCTGCATATGGTTGAGTCCTTCCCCAGGCTAAGTTTTCGGCGATAGCCTGGGTTATCCGATGAGGGGGGGGGAGAGGGAGGTGCCGGCCGAAAACCTAACCTTTTTCGCCTTGGGCAGCCCCTCACATGCCCGCGCGCACCAGCACGGCGTACCCCCATTCGGACCTGCGCAACCGACGAGGCCAGGTTATCTGGAGGAGCGAGGGGGA